TAACACTCTGTGATTTTATTTTAATTAATTAATTAATTAATTAATTAATGACCTTCCTCTCTCGGTCATTAGCTCCTTAGAGCCAGGGATGGTGTCCATTTTGCTCAGCACTGCTACCCCAGTGCCTAGCACAAGAATTCAAGTATATGCTAAGTAAGAGGTCCAGCTTGTCAGCAAATGGATATTTAGGATTAAAAGAAAGTACAGAGATCTGAGTTAGAAATAAAATAATGAGTCAGCAGCATTAAGGTAGTTTAAGAGAAAGTTTTCCAGTGAGGACACACAGAATAGGAAGAATAAAGTGCTAAGGACATAGCCTGAAAACCACTATATTTAAGAGGCAAAGGAAGTCCAAATAGATGAGAAAGAAAAACCAGAGACATAGGAGGCATGAGGAGCCAACAAATGCAGTCAAGGAAGAGATGGTCAATTCTTAGATTTTTTGTTGATGTGGGAGAGACTTCAGCAAGTTGACATGCTGCAGGTGGGTCATTTCCTGGGAGGAAGGAGCCAGGAGAGAAGAGGAGGCCTAACTTGGAGTTTTCATGGCACCCTCACCTGGCCCTGAGGCCACCATTGAGTGGCAACCTCTGGAGAAGTTAGAAACCAGACAGCGAGTGTCCACTGCTAGAATTCTGACACTCTCACTCTGCCACAAAGCCCAAGGAAAGCTGACTTGACCTCCTATAGGCTGGTTCAAAGACCAAAGGTATTTCATGCAGTCACAACTGAACCCAAGAGTGGGAGAGAGGCAAGAGTTACATGAGGCTAAAAGGAGTTGCTGGCCTGGCTGGCAGATCACACGCTGTCTGGGATTCCAGAGCCCCAAGCTGGGGCCCCAGCCCCTCTCCTGGAGAAAGCTGAATAGAACATGCTATGCTTCCGTTTTTGTTGTTGTTGTTTTTCTTAAAGACTTTATTTGAGAGAGAGAGAGAGAGAGAGAGAGAGAGAGAGAGAGAAAGAGCATGAGGGCACACAAGCTGGGAGGAGGGACGGAGGGAGAAGTACACTCCCTTTGAGCAAGGAGCCTGATGCAGGGCTCCATCCTTGGACCCCAGGATGATGACCTGAGCCAAAAGCAGGAGTTTAACTGCCTGAGTCACCCAGGGTCCCGAACATGCTGTTTCCTTCTTAACACACACACACACAGCCTGTCCTTGGACATCTCTCGACTCTCAACCCAACACTGGGAAGTCCTCTGCCTTTCATAATGGAAGCACTTCTACCATGAAGGAGTAATCATTTGCTAAACTATTCAAAAAACCTTATCCTCATTACCGAGGTCAGCATAGGAGTTCCTGTCCTGACCTCGGTTCCTGTCTTACATAAAATAAAAGGCCAGGGGTGCCTGGGTGTTTCAGTTGGTTAAGCATTTGCCTTCAGCTTGGGTCATGATCCCAGGGTTCTGGGATGGAGCCTCACATCACAGGGAGTCTGCTTCTCCCTCTCCCTTGCTCATTTTCTCTCTCTTTTTTTTTTTCTTTTTTAAGATTTTATTTATTTGTTCATGAGAGACACAGAGAGAGGCAGAGAAATACACAGAGGAGAAGCAGGCTCCCTGCAGGGAGCCCGATTCAGGACTTAATCCAGGGACTCCAGGATCACACCCTGGGCCGAAGGCACTCAACTGCTGAGCCACCCAGATGTTCCATCCCTTGCTCATTCTTTCTCTCTCTCTCTCTCAAATAAATAAATAATATCTTAAAAAAAAAGACAAAAAAAAAATCTAAATTCTATGTCTAAAACATTTCCCCCGGGATCCCTGGGTGGCGCAGAGGTTTGGCGCCTGCCTTTGGCCCAGGGCGCGATCCTGGAGACCCGGGATCGAATCCCACGTCGGGCTCCCGGTGCATGGAGCCTGCTTCTCCCTCTGCCTGTGTCTCTGCCTCTCTCTCTCTCATTCTATGTGACTATCATAAACAAATACAAATTAAAAAAATTTAAAAAAAAATAAAGCATTTCCCCCTACACCTGCTGCCCCCAATGGGCACAGTTCCATGACTCCTTCAGGGCAAACTCAAACCCTTCTGTCATATACTCTCCTAGCATCCTGTCCTCATTTGCAACACACTCAGTTTTGTAATCACTTTCTTGTTACATACAGTTATTTGTATAAAGTTGGCCTCCCCTGGCAGATTGTAATGTTATTGCTGTAGCTCTCTCAGGCCCTCTAAAAATACTTACTGCTTGCCTAAAATACATTTCAACTTATTCTTGGGCTCTCTGGGCATGGAGGACATCACTCTTTCAAGTCAAACTCAGAACCTGTCTTGGTTACAGAAGTAAGAGCAAGTTTTGGGTCACGAAATTGCAAATGGTCTACCTCTCCTCTACTGAGTCCTATCTGGTTTCTAGGTTTTTCTCTAGAATAGTTATTCTCCCTCTTCCCACATAAACTGCATCTAGGTATTCCCTAAAGAGGTCACTACCACATCCAGGGTGGCCCCAGTTCCAAAGGAATATAATTCTGCTACTAGGAACAAGGGGAGAGGGCAGCCCTGGTGGCTCAGCGGTTTAGCGCCGCCTTCAGCCCAGGGCTTGATCCTGGAGACCCAGGATGGAGTCCCACGTTGGGCTCACTGCATGGAGCCTGCTTCTCCCTCTGCCTGTGTCTCTGTCTCTCTCTCTCTCATGAATAAATAAATAAAATCTTAAAAAAAAAAAAAAAAAGGAACAAGGGGAGAGCTGGACATCAAACAGGTGACCGACCAGTAATTCTCTTGCTCTGAGGAAAATATCACAGCTCAAAGATGTGGGGATGCAAGATCTCAATTTACAGAATGGAAACTGATGCTTAGGAAGGTCCACATCGATTGAGCCAATATGCTGAACATTACACACAACCCTGCCCTAACCAGAGCTCCAGTCTTGTCCATTCATCCAACAATCTGACAATAGCTAGGGCCTACTTTCCCAAGGCCACAAAGCTTGGGGTCACTTAGACGGATCCTCTGTCTACTACAGGCCAAAAGAAAGAGAGAGGAAAGAAGAATAAAAAATAGAGAAAAGAGGAAAAAAATGAAACAATCCATTACCTCTCCTGAAGTCATCCTTCTTAGAGTTGAGTTCTGGGACACCTAACTAGCTCAGTTGGTAAAGTATGCAACTCTTGATATTGGGGTCTGAGTTCAGGCCCCGTGCTGAGGATATAGTTACTTAAAAAAAAAAAAAAAAAAAAAAACTAAAAAACTAAAAAAAACAGAGAGTTGATTTTCTCTGGCAAACCGTATCAGAGCTCAGAGAACAGACTTCCAAACTCTCTCTGGATATCCTCTTGCAAGGGGGTAAAGTACTCAGGATTTCCCTGTCAGTATTCCAAGGCAGGAAGAAAAACATCATCACTAACACTTGCACCAGAGGAAAATCAAGGCAGCCAGACTCAAGAAGGTCAAACACAAAGACCACTTGAGATAGGTGACAGCTGGTGCCAAGGCTGTCTACAGAAACTTGGACAATGAGGTTAATAATTACACACGCAGGCCCAGGTACACTCCCGTGACCCCAAGGCAATCATGATGTTAGACACCAGAAACTCAGAAAGTGAAATCTGCCCTGCCTTTTTCAAAACAGAACCAACAGGCTAGAGATGAGTAGGTTGCAGGAGTGTATCCTCTGAATTAGCCATTTATCTTGCGTCTACTTAATCAAGCTTCTGAACAGAGCTTTCTCTCCAATGATCTGAAGCAGGTATGCAGCTAGCAGATGTTTAAAAACATATTTTAATTGAATGCATAAATAGCTAAGAACCATTCAAGAAAAATCTGCCTTCATTCCAGTAGTCTTAAGTAGACTGTTAAGCCTGCTGGTAGGAAGAGGGGCAAAACACCCAAACCTAGATGAAACAGTAACAGCTAAACTCTATGTAGCACTTCCCATGTGCCAGTAATATTTTATGTACTTGACACAATAATTCACATAATCCTCACAAGAACTCAATGAGGGAGGTAAGAGGCACACACATGCTGCAAATGTCTACGTTTATCATCAGTGCCAATACTTTACCAATTCTTTTTTTTTTTTTTAAGATTTTATTTATTTATTCATGGGAGGCAGAGAGAGAGGCAGAGGCACAGGCGGTGGGAGAAGCAGGCTCCCTGTGGGGAGCCCAGTGCAGGACTCTATCCTAGGACCCCGGGATCATGACCTGAGCCAAAGGCAGACGCTCAACCACTGAGCCGCTTTACCAATTCTTAAAAAGTTCTGGGTTTACACCACAAATATAAGCCATTCTGTTCCTCCTACCTAGACAACACAATAGTGTTAAAATCGCTTTCTCCAGCGTCAGAACTGGGTTCAAGTCCCAACTTTATATGGCTTAAACAGCCAATTCCTAGGGCTGTGAGAATGAAATGAAATCTTGTGTGAAAAGCATTCCACTAGGAAGTATGTAATTTCCATAAGGGCAGATTTCGTCCCTTACTGTTCTGCAGAGTCTAGAACAGGACCTGGCACACATGTGATTAACTCTTCTTCCCGTCCTCAGCAGGTAGCGCCTCTCAACCCACCCAGAACCCCTTTCGCTCTCGCGTGCCTGCAAGTGCAGGCCCATTTTGGCCTTTCTGGGGCTGCAGATGGTGCACCGGTGCACCGTCCGGTCCAATGCTGCTTAGCAAAACCTGGCCATTCCAAAACGTCTTTCACTCCTGCTGTCTGCTCACCTCGGCGTTCAGGGCCAGTGCCCAGGCTGCCCCTTGCCCTCCGACAGGCGGCCTCCCACCACCGGGACGCCTCCATCCTGGATTCTCCACAGAGATGTGGAGATAGATGCACAGCCCATAACGCCGTCACCCCTCAGCTGGGACCTCGAGCGCCGGGGGCCATTAAGCGAGCGGTCCCCGCACAGCCCCAGACCACTATTAGCGCCACGTGGCTTCGGCAGGTGGATGCCCAGCCCCCGCAGCAGCCCCGCCTGAGCAGTCAAGACAGAAATCCAAGCTCCCTCCCGAGATGTGGGGTCTAGAGGAAGGTGTGGTGGGCGGCCTCCTCCCAAGACCCCTTACCTCGTCCCGGGAAGAAAGCACCGGAACAACTGCCAACAGAAGCAGCCCGCGTCGGAACCCTGGCCTGCATTAACCTGCGGCCTCGGCCCGGGAACCGCCCCTCGGCCGTCCCGCCCTGCTCCCCCCGACCAATCACAGGCTGAGCGGCGCCCACCAGCCACGTGGGCGAGCTTTAACCAGTCGCAGGGTCCCCCCGAGCCGGCAGCCGCCTCCAGGCGCTCCAGCAGCCCGCCCGCGCAGTGGGCGGGCACTTTGGCGCGCTTGCGCACTTGAGGAAAGCGGAGCTGGACCCCGCCCCGGACGAGTGCTTTGCTCCTCCACTGTGCGTGCGAGGGACGTCGGGGGCGGTGCCGCAGCAGTTGCCCCTGGTAACCGGGAGGCAGGAGGAGGAGGAGGAGGAGGCGGAGGTGGAGGAGGAGGGACTCGGCGGGAGGATGGTGAGTGTGGGGGCCCGGGCCCCTCCGGAGCTGGCCGGTCACCCCCCCGCCCGTCCCCAGGCCCAGGGCGGGGCACTGCGCTTGAAGCCAAGGAGGGAATGAGAGCCTGCTGCCTGGATCCTGGATTGGTTTCAGGGGGCAGCGGGGAGCGGAGGGTGGGCCCTTGGAAGGAGACCTGGGCCTGGGGAGGAAGGCGGGGCTTGCAGCCAGTCCGAACTAGGGGAAGGGGCTGGAAGGTTGCGTGGCTATCCCGGTACCGAGCCGGGGCTCCATCAGTACTAAGGACTGAGATGAGGGCGGATCCGAGTAACTGCGGAAAGCAGCCTCCGCCTGCAGGCTTAGATCTTCCTAGGGAATCGGCCTCCCCGCACCGCTGGAAAGTGGGTCCGCTGGGGTCCGGCCAGAAGCGGGAAGAAGGGTCTGCGCTACTGTCTTTGAGGTCGCCCTCGCGGTACCAGGGGAGATGGTAGCCTAGCTCTCCTCTTCCTCGAGAAGTGCGGGCCTCTGGGGGGAGGGGTGTAAATCCCAGGATACAAAGAGGTACGGCTCAGAAGGGATGCCTGGTGGATTTTACGCCGTCTGGGTGTCTCCGTGGCAGGCGCACTTCTGCAGCGACGAGTTATTTATTTGCTGAGAGTTCTGTAAAGTCTGGTTGTTGGCGATGATCGACGTTCCCTTCAATATCTAATCCGTGTTGATGGAGACAAATTTGCTGCCCGGTCCTAAGTATTTCATTTCAAACCTGTTGCAGCCTTTTGCATATGACCACTCCAGAACCAAAGATGAGGTGAGAACCAAAGATCTCACCTCAGGATCTCCAACCTAAGAAGTATGGGAAGTTAAAACCGGAGTGGCTATCAATTGGCTTTCCTCTGTCAGACCTAATTAAAGCTTTCCCTAGATTATGAATTATGATGCGTGACAGATTTGACCGTTGACATGTTATTCCTTGTTGATTTTTGTGCAGTTGGTTGGAGGGTATTGAAATGGAATTGAGTAGTTTTTGAGCAAGTCAAAGCAAAATTGACTTTGAAGCATTTAGAATAGGTTGATTGGCTTACCAACTGCACAGAGCCAGGCACTCACAGGTACTTCCCCACCCGCCGTACCTTTTGACTTTCAGAAATGTCGAACCATGTTCATTAATTTATGAAGAAAAGACTGGGGGTGGGGGGTGGTACGCACCTTTGGTATTCTAATGAGTAAATTTTGATAGGAAAAAGAATTGATTTTACATTGTCAGGTTGCTAAAGAAGAATTACTTGATCTGAAGTTGCCAATCACATTTCACACTTGCTACATTGCAGTTTTATTAACCGCAGGCTAAACAGATTTTTACATGTTATCTTTTTATTAATCATTTATACATGAGCTGTCCATTTAAAGGCGAAATTTTTCTCAACAAATGAATACAGACATAAATATTTACACAGAAAATAACTAGAATTGGAATGAAAGAAACATACCAAACCAACAGAGAATGAGATACCATCATAAATGAGAAACACATGAGAGTTGGCTAACTTTTCCCGGTTTATCAATTAGGTGGACTGTGTAATTTCATGATTGTTTAACTTGTAATTACTGACCACAATAAATTAACCACTGCTCATGTTTCCAGGTGCAAATTGACACTGTATACAGCAAATTGACAGTGCTGTAGCACTACTGTATACGACTGTTGTGTTCATTGATCAAGACAGACTTTGTCTTTATTTTTTCCTAAAATGAACAATGTGAAATTAGGGCAAATAATTCTGGATTCTTTATCTGGTTCCAAAACACATTTTTTTTTTTAATCTCCAAAAGTATAAGCTATTCTTAGAACTGAAAGTGGAACATAGAATTTAACCATCACTGGTGTGATTAAGTGTGTCACATCTGGTATCCCACCAATCCCTATGATAACTGTACAACTAAAGACTGAGTCCAGGTTTTTGTTTTTGTTTTTTAAACTTTCAGCTGGAACTAATACATTTTATTTTTTATCTAAAAACCTAAATGTTTTCTCCAAACATTTAGCCATCTATTTTACCCCTGCCTTTTGGTAGCAAGTCTTTGGTGAAATACTAAGATGACAGTAATGTTAGTGCTTAAGTAATCACTGCTATTTAACAGATGACTCCTTCACTCAGGAATTATGTATGGAGTACTTTCTACATACATGAACCTAGTGGTAGTTATCAAGCATGTTAAGCATTTGAAGATTGTTCCTTGGGACACCCGGGTGGCTTTTTTTAATTCTTTAAAAAAAATTACTGAAGATTGTTTTCAAAATTGTGTTTTATGGTCAGAAAATAGTCAGTGAAAAGTTAAAACAACATAGCTACTGCTTTGAGTGCCTACTACATATGTAATGTTTTACATACATTACTTCGCTTAATCTTCATAGCATTTTTCTTTTTAAAGATTTTATTTATTCATGAGAGACAGAGAGAGAGAGGCAGAGATATAGGCAGAGAGAGGAGCAGGCTCCATGCAGGGAGCTTTGATGTGCGACTTGATTCCAGGACTCCAGGATCACACCCTGGGCCAAAGGCAGATGCTCAACCACTGAGCCATCCAGGCGTGGCTTCATAGCATTTTTCTTTTTTTTTTTTTTAAGTTCTTTTTTTTTTAAGATTTATTTATTTACTTATTTATGATAGACATAGAGAAAGAGAGAGAGAGGCAGAGACACAGGAGGAAGGAGAAGCAGGCTCCATGCTGGGAGCCCGATGTGGGACTCGATCCCGGGACTCCAGGATCACGTCCTGGGCCAAAGGCAGGCGCTAAACCGCTGAGCCACACAGGGATCCCCTCATAGCATTTTTCTTAAGATCCAGGTATTGTTCCCGTTTTCTAGATGCCCAGGGTTACACATGTAAGAAAGGTGAAGTCAAGTCTATGAAATTCCAAAACCCATAATGTTCTCTCTTTTTTTTTTAAGTTTTTTTTTTTTTTTTTTTTTTTTTTTTTTAGTAATCTCTACCTTGAACTCAACGACCTGGAGATCAAGAGTTGCATGGTCTAGGGCAGCCTGGGTGGCTCAGCGGTTTAGCACCGCCTTCAGCCCAGGGTGTGATCCTGGAGACCAGGGATGGAGTCCCACGTCGGGCTCCCTGCACAGAGCCTGCCTCTCCCTCTGCCTGTGTCTCTGCCTCTCTGTGTGTGTGTCTCTCATGAATAAATAAATAAAATCTTTAAAAAAAAAAAAAAAAGAGTTGCACGGTCTACAACTGAGCCAGCCAGGTGCTCCCCCCCCCCCCCCCCCCCGCCAGCCGCCAGCCTTATTAGGACTCTGGTGAGATGGGAACCCACTCTTCTGAAGAAATGTCCATATTTTGTTCCTCGGAAACATTGTATTTATTTAATAGAGAGGTGAAGAGAAAGACGACAGGTTTGGGTGAGGTTCTCCCTATCAAAACTATAGGAGTTCCTGGAAGTTAATAAGGTCTCCCTGAGCGGCATAATTTTTTTGTTAAAGAGGTTAAATACAGTGAAGTCAGTTACACTTAAGCTAGTTATGGGGAGTACATGTACTTGATAGTTGGCTTACTAATTTTTTTTTTAAGATTTTAGTTATTTATTCATGAGAGACACAAAGAGAGGGGCAGAGACACAGGCAGAGGGAGAAGCAGGCCCCATGCAGGGAACCCGATGTGGGACTTGATCCCAGAACTCCAGGATCACGTACTGGACCAAAAGGCAGACGCTCAACCAGGCGTCCCTGGCTTACTAATTTTAATATTTAAATTTTAACTGATCCTCACAGCCAAGTACACTTTCCATCTACTATGACATTCTTCTCTCACCCTCTACCACCCCAGTTTCTTTAAATGACCTAGTTTGTATCATTTTAGGTCAATGCACCATGCCTCTGCCAGTAGCTGAGTTTAAGCTGATTTTGAGGCAGATAAAATATCTGCAGTCAATAGTACATCTATTCATAATTTGCCTGTAGAAAGTTTGTTCAGATGTTTTATGACTGAGTCAGACCACTTCTGTCCACCAGGGTGCAGATAACTTATATGCACACATACTGATAATAGACTTTATACAATGAACTAAAGTTCTGATTTCTTAAATTGCCTTTAATGTCATAGGAGTACAGATCCAACATAGAAACCATGTCTGTGGGCAGCCCCGGTGGCGCAGCGGTTTAGCGCCGCCTGTAGCCCAGGGCGTGATCCTGGAGACGCTGGATCGAGTCCCACATCAGGCTCTCTGTATGATGCCTGCCTGTGTCTCTGCCTCTCTCTGTCTCTATGAATAAATAAATAAAATTTTAAAAAAAAGAGATGGCCAACTTAAAAAAAAAAAAAAGAAACCATGTCTGTTTCTCTCCATTGTACTTGGAGCACATTGTGGGTATTTAATGTGAATGAAGGAATGAATGAATGGGTATTTTACCCAAAAATGCACTTTAAAAATTTGTTTCCTTGTATCTATACTGCAAAACTCAGCCCCATAATAAAATTAATTTCTAATGGCTATTTCCATTTGACATTTAGAATAAAGTATGGACATTTATGTTTAGAAACATAGACTTATTCTGCTCTCTTTCCTCCAGCCTCTTAAATCAGCTTACTTTGTACCTTTCAGTCAGAACTCTGATATCTATAAATATCCTCTTCCCTATTTAGCAAACCCTGATAATCCTGTGATCCCCTGTCCTCAGTGTTGGGTTAATATGATGCTGTACTGTATTTGCATTTGT